CGGTGAGGCGCCGGCGGCCACGCCGAGGAGGTCGCTGGCCGAGCGGAGCCGGGCGCTGGGGCCTGAGCGCGCATGGAGGTGGCGCTGGCGGCCCCCTGAGGGCAGCTAGGAGACCCGACCCGACGACCTCGCGCATCCTTGGAGCCGCCACGCGCTATGGGCGCTGGGCGGCGGCGGGCCGCGGAGCCAGCGCAGCCATGGCGACCGACGGCCGGCAGAAGGAGAACACGCTGCTTCACCTCTTCGCCGGCGGGGGCGGAGGCACAGTTGGTGCCATTTTCACTTGTCCACTAGAAGTCATTAAGACGCGGTTGCAGTCTTCGAGATTAGCCCTCCGGACAGTCTACTATCCTCAGGTTCATCTGGGGACCATTAGTGGAGCTGGAATGGTGAGACCAACATCCGTGACACCTGGACTCTTTCCGGTTCTGAAGCCGATCTTGGAGAAAGAGGGACCAAAGTCACTTTTTAGAGGCTTGGGTCCAAATTTGGTTGGAGCTGCACCGTGAAGGGCTGTATACTTTGCATGTTACTCCAAAGCCAAAGAGCAATTTAATGGCATTTTCATGCCTAACAGCAATATTGTGCATATTTTCTCAGCTGACTCTGCAGCTTTTATCACAAATTCCTTAATGAATCCTATATGGATGGTTAAAACCCGAATGCAGCTAGAACGAAAAGTGAGGGGCTCTAAGCAGACGAATACACTCCAGTGTGCTTGCTACGTTTACCAGACCGAAGGAATTCATGACTTCTACAGAGGATTAACTGCCTCGTATGCTGGAATTTCCGAAACGAAAATCTGCTTTGCTTTTTATGAAAGTTTAAAGAAGTATCTGAAAGAAACTTCATTAGCCTCTTTGCAAATGCGACTGAGAAAAATTCCACAGGTTTTTTTGGTTCTTATGGCAGCTGCTGCTCTTTCTAAGGGCTGTGCCTCCTGCATTGCTTATCCACACGAGGTCATAAGGACGAGGCTCCGGGAGGAGGGCACCAAGTACAAGTCCTTTGTCCAGACGGCGCGCCTGGTGTTCCGGGAAGAAGGCTACCTCGCCTTCTATAAAGCACTCTTCGCCCAGCTCATCCGGCAGATCCCAAATACTGCCACTGTGTTGTCTACTTACAAGTTAATTGTGTACCTGTTAGAAGACCGTATTCAGTAACAGGCCAGAAAATTGTGCTCTAGAAGAATAAAACTGAAAAACTCTAGAGAAAAAAAAAACTATCTTCGATTACCTCTGCCATCTATTTTCTGTCGATATGCTGACCAATCCAATCCTTCTTCCTCAATTGATAGCTAGTAGTCAAAACAGCCAATGACATGAGAAATGGAAAGACATGTAAGTCCCAAAGGACGATCTTTTAAATTAACTGTGCAGTAAGCAGAGCAAACATGCACTAGCACTCAAGTCTCACAGTGCAGAGAAAAGATGTCTCCTTGGTTGTCATCATCAAGACAGTGAGAAGCAGTGGCATCTAAAATATTTATGAATCTAGGCTAAATTATTCCAGTAAAAAGCTATTTGACCTACTTATTTCAAAATGAAAGCTTATTCAAAAATATTTTCAGTATTCAGTTCAAGTATCATTGACATACCAACTTAATTCCTCACTGATTTCAGGCAGGAAGCTCTAAATTAGGGCATGAAGTTTGCCAGGTTTCTATTTGAATAAGTGTATTAGTCCATTCTCACACTGCTACAAAGGCACTACCCGAGACTGGGTAATTTATAAAGAAAAGAGGCTTGATTGACTCACAGTTCCACATGGCTAAGGAGGCCTCAGGAAACTTACAATCATGGCAAAAGGCAAAGGGGAAGCAAAGACCTTTCCATTACAGCAGATAAGAGAGAGCTGGCAAGAACGAGGAAAACTGCCTTACAAAACCATCAGATCTCCTGAGAAATCACTCACTATTATGAGAACAGCATGGGGAAAACCACTTGCATGATCCAATCACCTTCCACCTGGTTCCTCCCTCAACGCCTGGGAATTACAATTCAAGATGAGATTCGAGAGGGTACACAAGGCCTAACCATATCAACAAGGTTCAGCGAGGCCTCCAAAAATCTCCCGGCCACAAAGTATAGCTCACAGTCCAACTTGTTGTATAGTGAAAAACAAAGAAACAAAAAACGAAATAAACAACAAAAAAATGAAAGAGGGAGAAAGAAAGAGAGGAGAGAGGGAGGCTTATAAGGTTCATAGAAAGAAAGATGACTCTTCAAATGAGGAGACACCTCTTCTACATTAAAAACAAACAGAAAAGCCTCATTTGGAAGCGCTCCCTGAGGGACCACAGGTAGGGGACCTAGAGAAAGATAACCTCATCTAGCATAGAGCATGTGACTTTCCTCCAAACGCTTCAGCTTCCAGTAGGGAATCTGCAGCGGCCAAAGTGGGAGCTGACAAGATCATGGAATATGATTTTTGTCCACAAGCTGCCTGGGAAAGAAATTCCTGTAGGATCAACAATACAGCTAGGAAGGAAATGAAAAAGTCAGATTCTTCATCCATTTATTGAAATATTCACCCAGGCTGCATACAGTGGCTCATGCCTATAATCCCAGCACTCTGGGAGGCTAAGGTGGGTGGATCTCCAGAGTTCAGGAGTTGGAGACCAGCTAGGGAAACATGGAGAAACCCTATCTCTACAAAAAATGCAAAAAAAGAGAAAAATTAGCTGAGTGTGGTGGTGCATGCCTGTGGTCTCAGCTACTTGGGAGGCTGAGGTGGGAGAATCACTTGAGCCAAGGAGGCAGATGCTACAGTGAGTAGAGCTTGTGCCATTGCACTCTAACCTGGGTGACTGAGTGAGACCCCATCTCAAAAAAAAGAAAAGAAAAGAGAAGGAAAGAAAGAGAGAAAGAAAGAAAGAGAGAGAAAAAGAAAGAGACAGAAAGAGGGAGGGAGGAAATAAATTCCCCCATTCTAATCCACAACAAACAATGAAAACAAAACCCAAAATCATGCACACTTGTTAAGATGCTTTTTGCGGCAAGTGACTGAATATTCAAGTGAAGGTGATGTATTAGGTTTTCTGTTTCTCTGTTTTCCTGTAGGCCATTCCAGGTTTAGTTAATTCTACAGCCTGACTAGGCCAGAGCTCTCAGTCATCCTTTCTGGATTCTCTTCTCTTTTTCCTCATGGGCCTTAAAGGATTGCTCCAGTTCCAAGCATCACATCCCACATGACATCATCCAAACACAGGAAGGAAAGGCCCTGGCTTTATTTTCAGGCATCTCTCATTTTAGTTTATTTTCTGGGAGCCTTTTCCCAGAAGCTCCTTAGCAGTCTTCCCTTAGCTCACAGTGTCTGGAGGTGGGCCACATGCCCACTCCATGCCTATGATTGGTAAAGACAATCAGCACTGGGAACAGACTGGCACATAGCAGGAGACTATTAAATATGTGTCGAATGAATGAAAGGCGAACTGGATTACCATGGTTGGCTTAGACCAATTATAACCCATTTCCTAGAGCCCATTTTCCTAGAACTCATTGTTGCTTAATGGCTGAAGAAAATTGGCATTTTCTTACCAAGGAAGAAGGAAAGAATGGCTATTGGGCAGTCAATAGTGTATGCCACATTATGCTATTTCTTAAAGCAGGGAACCAGAGTAGACCCATTTAAAAGGGCTTATTATTTTCTATTGGTTACTTTGTAAAAAAAAAAATGTTTTGGGATTTAAACAAATTGTTCATGCAAGGAGTATCTTATTAGCAAACAAGCTACAATATTCTAAAAAGAAATGGACATTTTTTTTCCTGCCCCAGCTTAGAGATCAGTTTGTACAGGATATTCTCCCTGCCTAAGCCCCATCTGGGTTGAGTATCCTTCCTTTATGTTATGAGGCACTCTACCTCCCCATGTTACAGGAGTTACCACACTAAATCACATCAACTTATTTATTCTTCTCTCCTGCAGTATAGACTGTAATGTGTTCACCAAATCCTGTTTGTGCTACCTTCTCAATCCTCTTTGCAGTTAGGTGTAGCCATGTCATTGAGTCTGGTCAATAGAATGTGACTAAAGTAGTGTATACCACTTCCAAGTCTGGCCATAAAAACCATCCATGCAATCTCCTGGCTTTCTCTTTCTTAATCTGCTGGCTTAATGGAGAAAACTGTGGACATAAAAAAAATGTGGAAGGAGGCTGGGACCCTGAATAACTGCATGGAACAGAATTCCTGTCTTCTCAGCAATCCACACTATTCTAAGATGAAATTAGTGAAGAATGCAGTTTATTGTGCTAAGCCACTGAGAATTAAGTATTTATGTGTTTCTGTTATGGCCGTTATCCAACTGTAACGAATACAGTTCCTCATTAGGATAAAAACTTCTTGAAAATATAAACCTCCTCTCCTTGTTCACCACACTCTTCTTGCCCTAGCACAATGTCCATCGCATAATAGGCATTTAAGACATTTTCAAAAAATGAAATAAACATGATTATCCCAACATGAATCCAGTACCTACTCAATGCCAAAATTGCTTGAACTTCGTAATGCCATTGAAAAAAAAACCAAAATATTTCTCCCCAAAACTTTGAGTAGTTAAGTCAAAGACACCGAAAACACGGAGGAATGCTCTGCCTCAGCCTGCATCTGCCTAGTGGCAAACCCTTCTTTCCTTACTGGGGTCCAGAGAGGGTACCAGCGGGCACCAGAGAATTCTGGGAACAGATTTTACGATCTTCCCACATTTTCCTGGCTTTTAAAAGACTGGGGCCACTCTTTCCTTTGTTTTGTCACTGTGTCGGATTTATGGCTCTTTGTAAATATACAATTTAATCTAGGCCCCAAGCTAGCTTGAGAAATACTTTTAAACCGAGGCCTCTCCTGCATGGTGGGTGCAGCATACACTAATGAGCTTCTGCTTGTTTTCCTTTTGTTAATCTGACTTTTGTTTTCAGGATAGTGTCTCAACTAAGAAATTAAAAATAGAAAAAAAATTGTGTTTTTCTCCCCTATACTATATTGGTAAATTTTGATATCACTTCATAGCTCAACACTGAAACAAATGTCAACAGAAGAATGGTGAAGTTCATAATTCAGAAAAGAGAGCTTTATTTCCTTAAAAAGTTTGCATCCTGTGGGGTGGCCATTGTGATGAGCCGGGAGCCGTAGCAACCAGCCAAGGGCCAGAAACAGCCACCTCAAGGGTAGAAAGAATAAGAAGAATTTATGCTGAGCAGGATGGTCAAATATACATATTCAATGAGGCACAGGAGGAGTGATGAATATTTATGACAGGAGGAACTTGCGCTCAGGAGCAACTGAGCTTCCTGTCTCTCCATGGGACCCATGTTCCCAAAACGGCAGTGTTAGCATTGATCTGAAAATGGAGAGAGAGAGAGAGAGAGAGAGAGAGACAGAGTGTGTTTGTGTGTGTGTGTGTGTGTGTGTGTGTGTGTGTGTGTGTGTGTGTGTGTGTTTGAGACGGAGTCTTGCTCTGTCACCCAGGCTGGAGTGCAGCGGCACTATCTCTGTTCACTGCAACCTCTGCCTTCCAGGTTCAAGTTATTCTCCTGCCTCAGTCTCCTGAGTAGCTGGAACTACAGGCATGCACCACCACTCCCAGCCAATTTTTGTATTTTTATTAGAGATGGAGTTTTTGGCATGTTGGCCAGGCTGGTCTTGAACTCCTGACCACAAGCGATCCACCTGCCTGTGCCTCCCAAAGTGCTGGGATTATAGGCGCGAGTGACAGCACCTGTGCCAAGAACGGAGTTTTCAGTCCTCTGAAGTCAAAAGATGGAGGAGAAGAGAAGGAAAGCCTCACTATGCATTCTCCATAGACTGGACAGACCCAATCTGTGCTCTAGTGAGGCATGTCCCACCTCCCCATCCAGTCTTGGCCGAGAACTCAGCTTCCAAGGCTTCACTGGAGTCCCCTTGGCTGAAAGATAGTCCATCCAGTCAATTAGGAGGCTTAAGATTTTATTTTTATTTCTCATTTGACAATATATCCCTTGAAAAGAAGGGCTGAGAATTATCTATCGTCATTGTCCTTTTTGGCAAAAAGGAGGGTAGGAAAAAATCTGCATCTCGTTTTTTAACCTGTAAGTGGGAATAAGAACTCCAAGGGACAAAGTGAATGGTGGAAATTTTCACCAGTTTTCATGTGTTTAAAAGGACACTCAGCAGCGCGTTTGTTGATCTGTCGATCCGTCTCTTGCTTCAACGATGCTTGGATGAAACAGACCAGGAACTCCCTCTCTTCCAGCCTCTGACTGCCCTTCCATCTCCTCTCCACCTGCAACCTCCAGAACCACCTTCTCCACCACCTCTTGCTTCTAGGGCTGTTGCAGATCTTTTTCTCAGTTCAGCTAAAGATGGGGAGGTGGGGCATCTTTGTCCCATGGCCATGAAAGTTTAGGCTTACAGACGGTTTGAAGGGTGAGTAAAGCAGGGGTTTATTGGGTGAACAAGAAAAAAGGAGGGGGAGCAGGGAGTCTCCGCCAGGCCAGAGTTCCTATTGGTGTGCTTCCCGCCTTGCAGTTTGAATCCCAGGTCCACCCAGGAAAACGGGGTCAGGCTCTTCCCTGTTGCAAACTGCGCGAACTTCTCAAGGCTCTGCCCTAGTGCACAGGCTAGTTGGAGTTTTTCTGGGAACCGTTTCCACCTGACTGTGTTAGGACCAGCCACACCATTTTTGTGGTTAGCTCCTTATAACTGACCAACCAACCGTGAGATCCCAGATGCATCAAAATTACTCCACCTAGGTGGAGGCAGCCATCAACTGCATCTGTGGGCTTTCTACAATTACTTCTCTCTGGGCTTCTATTTCAACCATAATGATATGGCTCTAGAAGGTGTGGGCCCCTTTTTTCTGGGCGGGCAGGGGGTTGGGGAACAGGGTCTCCCTCAGTTACCCAGGCTGGAGTGCAGTGGCAGTGGCACAATCATGGCTCACTGCAGCCTGACCTCCTGGGCTTAAGTGATCCTCCCAACTTAGCCTCTCAATTACCTGGGACAACAGGTGTGCACCACCACACCCAGATAACTTTTTGTTTTATTTTTGTAGAAAGTGAGTCTTGCCGAGACTGGTCTTGAACCCCTGGGCTCGAGTGATCTTCCTGCCTCACCCACCCAAAATGCTGGGGTTATAGTCAAGAGCCACAGCACCCCGCCTACTTCTTTCACAAATTGTTAGAGGAGAAGCACTAGGGTGCCCAGTGTCTCTTGAAGATGCAAAACCAGTTTGGCGGTCCTCTTCCAGGACGCCCAGAGCCATGTAAAGATAAGTCAGGTGGGCAAATGCAGTGGCTCATATCTTTCCTCCCAGCACTCTGGGGGACCCAGGAGGGAGGATCTCTGAGGCCAAGAGTTTAAGATCAGCCTGAGCAACATAACAAGACCCTGCCTCTACAAAATTTTTTTAATGAGCAGGCATGGTGACATGCACCTGTAGTCCCAGCTACTTAGGAGGCTGAGGTGGAAGGATTGCTTGAGCCCAGGAGTTCAAGGTTACAGTGAGCTATGGATCACACCACTGCACTCCATCCTGGGTGACAGTGAGACCCTGTCTCAAAAAAAAAAAGTTAAAAATACAAATCAAATTTGTCCCACCACTAGGATTATTGAGTTAGAACCTCTGCAGGTAAGGCTTAGGAATCTATATTTTTAACCAGCTCCCTAAACATCCTGATGTCCAGTGAAATATGAGAAACATTGCTGCGTACCCTGCCTATGTTTGCGTGTTTTTCCATAAGTTAATTGAAAACAATTTTAGCATCTCCCATTCCATCAGATCCCTTTCCCTTTTAACTAGCTAAGGTCCATGCTGGGAAACTGCCTAAAAATAGCTTAGGTTTTCCTTCCTGCTGGCACTGGTGGGGGTAGGACCGTTGCAGACTTCCCCTCTGACCTCTGTCTTTATTGTTTGTCTTTCATCAGTCAGCCGCAAAGCATTCTCCATATCTCACAGTTCCTTGAAAATTTCATACCAGGACTTGGCCAAGGTTAAGGTAGTGTCTGACTTTCTTTTCATCTCAAAAATGACCACTAGAATTCTCACTGTTGATGAAAGTGTAAAAATGATACAATTTCTTTGGGGAAACTGTTTGGCAATATCTACTAAAGTTAAATATGTACCCGCCCCATAACTCGGCAATTCCACTCCTAGCTATATACCCAAGAAAAGTGAATGTGTACATCCACCAGAAGGCATGGACCCCAATGTTCACAGCAGCTCATTCATAATAACTGTAAACTCAAAACAACCCTCTGGGTTTGTCCAGTAACAGGAGAATGGATAAATGTTATGACATATTTATACAATACTATATGGAAATAATTTATTTTCATATAGCAATATAAATGGACCTCAAAAACATCTCATGCAAGAAGAGCCATCTGCAAATGAGTATATACCGTATTATTCCATTGATATGAAGTTCAAGAACAGGCTAAACTAACCCATGGTGATAAACTAGAATAAGATCTATTTATAGGTGAGGGGGCTATTGAACTGGACAGGGTATGAGAGAATTTTCTGGGAAGATGGAAATGTTCCATTGATAAATCTTGATTTGGCTAGTGCCCTCAGAGGTGTATTTATGTAAAATTCATTGAGCTGTACACTTAAGATGTGTGCATTGTACTGTAATTCTAGATAGATGGCTGGATTCCATTGCTATCAAAAGACAGATCTAAAAGCACAGCTTGTTACTTCCCCACCCTTTCTTGTCTGAATTTCTTTCACTCTACAGGCCTCTATAGTTTTTTGTGTTCTTATGTACTTGCCAGACATTTCTTGCAGCCACAAGTCTCTTCTCTATCTCTCTTCTAGAGTTTTCTCTCCTTGTAGTCACCATGAGCAGCACCAAAACTGGTCCTCTGTATCCACCCCCTTTTCCTCCCACCAAGGGAGCGAAGGGTGGGTCACTAGCTACCTAGAACCCTGCAGGCGTGGCCTTTCTATAACCCGAAGTAGCTGTTGCCACTTTTTTTGTTGTTGTTATTGTTGTTGAGATGGAGTCTCTCTGTTTACCCGACTGGAGTGCAGTGGTGTGATCTCAACTCACTGCAACTCCACCTCCTGGGTTCAAGCAATTCTCCTGCCTCAGCCTCTTGAGTAGCTGGGATTACAGGCATGCATCACCATGCCTGGTTAATTTTTTTGTATTTAGTAGAGATGGGGTTTAACCATGTTGGTCAAGCTGGTCTTGAACTTTTGACCTCAGGTGATCCACCCACCTCAGCCTCCCAAAGTGCTGGGATTACAGGTGTGAGCCACTGTTCCCACTCTTTATGGCTCTTTAAAATCTTCCATTTCTATTTCTTTGCCCATTTCCATCTTTTTCACAAATTGGCTCCAGCTTCTGGGGATGAATGAAAAAACGTTCTGCTTTGATTGGTAGATTTAATTAGGACCACTGTTTTTTGGGACACAATCTTATCAAACACAGTGAATGTGGCAGCAAAGCAACTTGGTGAGCTGCTAACAATGGAGGATTTAGAACACCAAAGCTGGGAGGCCAAGACTAAAGATAGTTAAATGAACTGCTAAAGTTAGATGTTCAACACAGAAAAAAGAGCACAGGCATGTGTAAAAGTCCTCACATGTATGTCGTATCTTAATTTTTCACTCAGAACTTTACAAATGAAAAAATTCAGGTTTTTCAGAGCAGAGGTGCCAACATATTTGGACAGAATGTGACTTTTATTCCAAAGTGGACTGAATGAATCTCTGCCCACAGTTGAATCATAGCAACCTAATCCAAAAGGAGAAAAAAACTGTAAAGCTAAACTACTGAACATTTCTGAGTCACCCACAAAAGTGAAAGTATCAGTTAAACCGGAGAAATTAAGGAGCTGTCTTGACTTGGAAGGGGAGTTTGTACTTTATAGCATGCAGCTGTCTTTGCAGATTGCTGTTCTTGGATAAAAGTAGGGAGAAAGAGCAGTTACTTTTCAAGTGGCCCCAACCTGTTAAGAAGGCATGATGCTCTAGGCTGGTGGTGCTCAACCTCGGCTGCATCCTGGAACTACATGGGGAGCTTTAAAAACCACTGTGGCCTGGATCCCACCCCAGAGATTCTGATTTAAATGGTCTGGGTGTAACCTGGGCATCAGGATTCTTAAAAGCTCCCAGGTGATTTTAATGTGCAGCCAAAGTTGAGAACCACTACTCTAGATTCTAGAACCTAGACTCAGCAGGGTACCTCGCAGGCTGCTAAACATTCAGTAAATATGTGTTGTACTGGTAATAGTAATTTTAAATGTTTTCCGTTGAGATGTAATTCACATAGCAAAATCCACCATTTTAAAATTTGATTCGCTGATTTTTTGTCCATGCATCATGTCATATAACTATCACTCCTATATAATTCCAGAACATTTCCATCACCCCTGCTATAGACTAAATATTTGTGTTCCTCCAAAATTCATATGTTGAAATCCTAACCCCCAATGTGATAGTATTAGAAGGTGCCTTTGGAAGGTGACTAAGTCATGAGGGTGGAACCCTCATGAATGAGATTAGTGCCCTTACAAGGAAGAGACACAAGAGTGCTCTGCTCCCTAGTATATAAGAATACAATGAAAAGACAGTATCTACAAACCACTGACTGGGCTCTCACCAGACACAAGACTGCCAGCTCCTTGATCTTGGACTTCCCAGCCTCTAGAACTGTGAGAAATAAATGTTTGTTGTTTAAGGCACCCAGTATATGATAATTTGTTATAGCAGTCTGTATTAGACTGTTCTTACACTGTTGTAAAGAAGTACCTGAGGCCAGGCACAGTGGCTCATGCCTGTAATTCCAGCAGTTTGGGAGGTCAAGGTGGGTGGATCACAAGGTCAGGAGTTCAAGACCAACCTGGTCAAGATGAAACCCCATCTCTACTAAAAATACAAAAGTTAGCCAGGCTGGTGGCAGGTGCCTGTAATCCCAGCTGCTGGGGAGGCTGAGCCAGAGAACTGCTTGAACCCGGGAGGTGGAGGTTGCAGTGAGCCACGACAGCACCACTACACTCTAGCCTGGGCGACAGAGAGAGACCCCATCTCAAAAAGAAAGAAAAAGAAGAAGAAGAAGAAGGAGAAGGAGAACCTGAGACTGGGTAATTTTTAAAGAAAGAGATTGTATTGGCTCATGGTTCTGCAAGCTTTACAGGAAACATGGTGCCGGCATCTGCCTAGCTTTCAGAGAGGCCCCAGGAAGCTTACAATTATTAGGAAGATGGAGGGGAACAGGCACGACACATGCGAAAGCAGGAGCAAGTGAGAGAGAGTTGAGGGGGAAGTTGCACACACTTTTAAATGATTAGAGAGAGAGCTCACTTATCACCAAGGGGATGGCCCCAAGCCATTCATGAGGGATCCACCCTTATGATCCAAACACCTCCCACCAGGTCCCACCTCCAACAGTGGGGACTACAAGTCAACATGAGATTTGGGCACAACATCCAAACCCTATTACAGCCCAATATGGGCTGTGTCTCCACCCAAATCTCATGTTGAATTGTAGTTCCCATAAATCACATGTGTCAGGGGAATGACCAGGTGGAAGGTAATTGAATCATGAGGACAGTTACCCCATGCTGTTCTCATGTTAGTGAGTGAGTCCTCACAAGATCTGATGGATTTCTAAAGGGCTTTCCCTCCTTTGCTCAGCACAGCTCCTTCCTTCCACCATGTGAAGAAGAACGTGTTTGCGTCCCCTTCCACCATGACTGTTTCCTGAGGCCTCCCCAGCCCTGCAGAACTGTGAGTCTATTCAACTTCTTTCCTTTATAAATTATAATTACTGTAGGGCAGCTCTTTATAGCAGTGTGAGAATGGACTAATACACAGCCCAAACTAAGGCAATTCTAAAGAGAAACTTTATACCTATTAGCAGTCGGCCTCCATTCTCTCCTCCCCTGAATCCACAACCACTTATATATTTTCTGTCTTTGTGAAGTTGCCTGTAATAGAATCATAAGATACCTTATCTCATGTCAGGGGTTTTTTTTTTACATCTTATAATGTTTTCAAGACCCATCCATGTTGTACACCACAAGGTCAAATAGTAACCATTTGGAATCTTCTGCAGGTTTAGAGAATTCAATTCCTTTTCAATTAGGTGTTAAACAAAATTTATAGGAAGGCATTGTTTCGGACTAGCCTCCTGCACTAGGCCCCAGCAGACCACACCAAACTAAAATGGAGTCATTTATGTTAACTGAAGCAGGTAAATCCCCAGATGGACCAGTGTTTTCCTGAGAGCAAAAGACTCACAGCAACCAGAAAAGGCCACGTTTGCCTGAGTTGGCATAACGAGGAATTTCCCTCTACTTTAACCCTTGTAAGAAAAGTGACCCGTAGTAAGCTTATGTTAACCATCTACTTTTTAAAATTATTGTTTCCTTTGTTCCAATTATGTACTCTGAAAAAAAAAATCACAAAAATTATTGTTTCCTTGTTCCCACTTACAAAACCCATTCTGCCATGCCCAGGAGAACACCCATTCTACTCTGTAGATTGAAGTGTTGCCCAGTTATAGAATAGCAAATAAAATTCATTTAGACTTTTAAATTAAATGTGTCATAATTTTATCTTTTGACATAAGTTGTTCCATTTGTACCAACAATTGAGAATTGTGAGTGAAAACCCCACCAACAGTTTTAGATTCTGTAATTAGTAAATAAATCATAGGAACTTTCAAAACAATAGCAGCAACCTAAGAGGTCCTGTGTACAGGATTAGCTGAACTAAACAAGGATAATAATCGGGGAACTTGCTTTACACTGTTGGGGCAAAAAGCCACAATAGAGAAGATCTAACACATATCCCAGAGAGGATTCCTTCTGCTTTAAGGAGCTGAATAGCTAGCCAGAGGGAAGAGAGAAACTTCTGTATTTTTTCCTGCTCTGGCCAACATCATCATTCCTTTCATCTTCTCTCATAAGGAATCCACCATGTTGTCCAGTCCCGGTACAAAATACTTATTCCATAAAAGCACATGAGTCTCCAGCCTGACAATCAGAAGGGACTTTCCCTTCACTCTCTCCTCTTTTGCGCTCTGCACTCCTTAATGCTTGGGGGATGTGGAGAGCAGTAAGAAAAGCAAAATCAAAGAATTAGGATCCCTGGGTCATTTAATGAAGCTAGTTTATTTATTTGTTTATTTATTTTACAGCCTGAGCTTTACTTGAAGATATTAAAAAGTCTGAGTTTATCCAAATTCCACAAATGTGGACTAAATGCAGTTTCATTTCAGTACAGTAAACATTGCCAGAGTCGCTACAAGGTGGCAGACACAGGGCTGGGCACTGGGGTGCAGGGACAAATGGGGCCTTGACCCTGCTCTCACTAGATGGGTTCACTCAGCATCTGGCCCGAGAATTTAAGCAGATCTCCCAGGGGCCGTGTATTTCTGTCTTATACAGTACAATTGCTCTCCAAGTCTGCGTGCACCTTCAGAGCTGAACTCAGGTTAAGGATCAAGCAGAAGCTCAGATGTGGTTTGAATAAGGGTGTTGGCCTTCCATGCTTAAAGGTGTAAAACCAGACGTGTATAAAGCTCACCCTGTGGTGAGACATCCCTGCAGAGCCTCCTTAGTTAGTTTTCACCACATTTTGATCAGGACACATCTTAGAGCCACTTACTCAGGAGGTGGAGAGGGAAAGGCTACCTCCCCCTGCCAATTCCTGCACTTTCCATTCCCAGTGAGCAACAAGAGGCTGGGAACCCATACGGCTTATCTAGGCCCAGCTGTGAGGCTAAGATGATATACTGTCATCTCTTTAGATAGGAAATGCTAGAGGACTGGAAAGGCTGATAATAAGAGTGTTAATGGCCTTGACACAGTTTAGAGCTGCAACGAACTGTGGAGAGTCCTGAGCAGTGGAAGCAGGAGGCGAGTGGTGAATGGAATGACCAGCTGGAGCAAAGAGCTTGTTGCCATTGTCCTTCTTCTCCATGGGCATGGCGCCTCCCAGTGGTGGGCCACCCACCTGGGCCCTGGGACTCCAGCCCACACGGGAAATCCTGGAGCCAAATAATGCTACTGAGGTCACCCTGCTTAGTTGAGTAGAGATCGAATAAAGTTTTCATCAGACAACTCACAAAAAAGAAAGTCAGCAGGCTCACACAATCCCCTTTCCACAGAAGCAGGGCCTATCTTGGACAAAATTATAAATTTTTGGACTGGTTTCTGAGATCCTTTTGTAACCACCCAATGGGTTCATCTTGCTGGCTGCTCAGATAGAGCCAATTTATTAGGACAGGAATTGCAGTAGAGAGTTTCATACACGCAGAAGACCAGAGTTTTATTATTACTCATATCAGCCTCCCTGAAAATTTGGAAGCTAGAATTTTTTGAAGATAGTTTGGTGGATAAGGGCTGGAAAATGGGTACTGCTGATTGGTTGGGGACACCATTCTTAGGGTGTGAAAATGGTCCTGCTGCACTGAGTCTGCAGCCACAGGACTTGTTGAGTCAGGAGTGGAGTCATCAGGTTGTCAGAAATGCAAGTCGGAAAGGACATCTCAAAAGGCTAATCCTAAATTCTACAACAGTGATGTTACTTATAGGAGTAATTGGGGAAGTTACAAATCTGACCTCTGGAACAAAGGCCGGTTATCATTTAACTATGCATACCTCTTAGCCGAATTCAAGCCCCTCTTGTAATCCTAACTTTGCAGACTTTAATTAGTTTTACAAAGGGAGTTTAGTTTGGGGGAAGGTTGTTACCATCCTTGCTTTAAGGTTAAACTATAAACTAAATTTCTCCCCAAGTTAGGTTGGCCCATGCCCAGAAATGACCAAGGGCCGTTTGGAGGTTAAAGTCAAGAGGGACTTGGTTAGCTCAGATCTCTTTCACTGTCATAGTTTTCAGTTATAATTTTTACAAAGGCAGTTTCACTTTCATATTTTATTTCTCATCCCAGTCACCCATGGGAGACTATGGTCTTTTCTTTTCCCTATCTTCGTCTTCTTCCATCAAAACTTATCTGTCCTATGTCTCATTCCTTCAGTTTCCTTTCTGCTGAACTGTGTTGAGAGGTATCTAATGTCTTCAAAGGTGACCACATATGTAATGGTTGGCACCAGCTTGGAAGGGAAGTCTTATGATTTAGCAGCAAGAACCAGTGTGACTGACCCACAGAGTAGCCACAGGCTTTCTTGAAAGCTTTGTGGAAAAACACCAGATATTGTCAGGGAAACACACCTTCTGACTTCACTCTGTTGAGAAATAACTCCTGCCATCTGGAAGCTGAAATTCTACTAGGTGAGATAAGAATTACATACAAATAAAATATATGGCCTATATTAGTCCGTTCATACTGCTAATAAAGACACACCTGAACTTGGGAAGAAAAGGAGGTTTAACTGGACTTACAGTTCCACGTGGCTGAGAAGGCCTCAGAATCACAGTGGGAGGTGAAAGGCACTTCATACGTGGCAGCAGCAAAAAGAAAATGAGGAATAATCAAAAGTGAAAACCCCTGGTAAACACATCAGATCTTGTGAGACTTATTCACTATGACAAGAATAGCATGGGAAAGACTGGCCCCCATGATTCCATTACCTGCCCCTAGGTCCCTCCCACAACCTGTGGGAATTATAGGAGATACAATTCGAATTGAGATTTGGGTGAGGACACAGTCAAACCATACATATCATTCCACTCCTGGCCCCTCCAAATCTCATGTGATCACATTTCAAAACCAATCCTGCCTTCCCAACAGTCCTCTAAAGTCTTAACTCATTTCCATATTAACCCAAAAGTCCACAGTCCAAAGTCTCATCTGAGATAAGGCAAATCTCTTCCTCTTATAAGCCTGAAAATCAAAAGCAGCTAGTTACTTCTTAGATACAATGGAAGCGCAGGTATTGGGTAAATATAGTCATTCCAAATGGAAGAAATCGGCTAAAGCAAAGGGGTTACAGGCCGCAGCAAAGGTGTTACAGCAAAAGGGTTAAAAGTCCAAAATTCAGCAGGGCAGTCAAATTTTAAAGCTCCAAAATAATCTCTTTTGACTCCAGGTCACACATCCAGGTCACCCACAAGAGGTGGGTTCCCATGGTCTTGGGCAGCTCCACCCCTGTGACTTCACAGGGTAGAGCCTCCCTCCTGACAGCTTTCATGGGCTGGCGTTGAGTGTCGGTGGCTTTTCCAGGCATGCAATGCAAGCTGTTGGTGGATCTGCCATCCTGGGCTCTGGAGGATGGTGACCCTCTTCTCACAGTTCCACTAGGCAGTGCCCCAGTAGGGACTCTATGTGGGTGCTTCAGCCCCACATTTCCCTTCCATACTGCCCTAGAAGAGGTTTTCCATGAGGGCCCCACCCTGCAGAAAACTTTTGCCTGGGCATCAGGCATTTCCATACATCTTTTGAAATCTAGGTGGAGGTTCCCAAACCTCAATTCTTGACTTCTGTGTACCCACAGGCTCAACACCACATGGAAGCTGCCAAGGTTTAGGGCTTCCACCCACTGAAGCCACAGCCCAAACTCAATGTTGGCCCTTTCAGCCAAGGCTGGAGCAGCTGAGACACAGAGCACCAACTCCTTAGACTTCACATAGCATGGGGACCCTGGGCCTGGCCCATGAAGCCACTTTTTCCTCTGGGGCCTCCAGGCCTGTGATGGGAAGGGGCTACCGAGAAGGTCTCTGACACGGCCTGGAGACATTTTCCCCATTGTCTTGGTGATTAGCATGAGGCTCCTGGCTACTTATGCAAATTTCTGCAGTTGGCTTGAATTTCTTCTCACAAA